GCGACTGAACACTGATCTGCTGATTAAAAGATTATCTTTTTTTTTTTTTACCCTTTATTTATCCAGGTAGTCTCACTGAGCCACGAGAACTCATTTTCAAGAGAGACCTGTTTAGGGAGCTTGGTGGGGGTTAAGGGCCTTGCTCAGGGGCCCAGAGTGGGGCGAATGAGGGTGGAGGGAGGTGTGGGTGTTTCACATTTTCCATCCACATTTTGATGTTGACGGTACCGGGAGGTGAACCTGTGACTTTCCGATCATCTTCTTCTCCATCTTTTTAAAATTTAAACATGTACATGTACTAGTATTCTAGTATAATTGAATCCATGCTCTGCTTCCACATGGTCCATGTATCTTTACTGATCGACTCGGGTGGCTTTTTAGTGTCTGATGTTATACAATATAATTAATTATTAGGAACGATTGCCGTATGCATGTACCGTAGGCTACATTTTACTTACCGTCATCTCTGAATGTGACTGCCCGCCATCGAAGACGTTAAGTTCTCAAGGTTTTCTGGGACTATCTCCTGGATTTCAGGATTTATTCAGAGGATAACAGGGATTGTTGTTATCAGGAAATGTTGGGAGCCCTCTATATAGAGTTCCACGGTTATTTGCAAGTGCGAAGCGCACCAGCTGCAGCTAGCTGTAGCACTTCCTGTGCCACTTAGAGGATTTCCAGCAAGAACACTCATGTTATTTCTATCCCCGCGCCCCCCCAAAAAACTTGCAATGTGAAATTGATAGTTTGTAAAAGTTCAAAGGGTTTCAATTGTTTGTGTTTATCCTCATAAACACAGCACTGTTAAACAAAATCCTAAAAATGATCCAGAGCTTACATGCTGGGTGAAGATGAAGAGGACACCCTCAGGTGGGAGGTTAGATTAGAAGCAGCGCTTTGACATTATTTTCAAAAAGTTGCTTCTTGGAGTTCATAAAATGCTGTTTTCATGTAGACACAAGGCAGAAACAATAAAAAAAAGTTAGTATGTTCACAAAATCATTCATGTGTGGACAGCTCCTTAAAAAGCTATCTGCGTCAGGTAAGATAATACATATATATGTATGATGCATGTGTTTAGTGTTTCCTGAGCTCAGAAATATTCAGAAAACAACGTTTCATCCATCCGTCCATCATCTTTACCTGCTTCTTCCTTTTCGGGTCGTGGGGATCACTGGTGCCCATGTCCAGCATCACTGTGGGAGAGTCAGGATAGTGGGGGAATGGTGGCGCAGAGGTTAGCGTGGGTGGGCCTGTGATCGGAGGGCCATCGGTCAACCCCTCATTTTAACTCCCCACACTGACAACATCAAAATGTGGGTGGAAAAGGTGAAACACCCACACCTGCCTCCACCCTCATTTGCCCCATGCACTCTGGACCCATGAGCAAGGCCCTTAAACACCCCCAGTTACTCCCTGGGCACCGTGGATGGCAGCTCACTGCTTCACATGTGCAATGAGAAAAATGCAGATAATTAATTTCCCCAGTGGGGGTTAATAGAGTACAGTACAATAAATAAATAAAAAATAAAGTGCACCCTGGACAGGTCTCAAGTCCATCACAAGACAAACAACTTTTCAAACTAAAAATTAAGTGAAAAAAGATTTAACTCAGAAAACTTGTCAGCAGTTCATAAAAAGCATTTGTTAAAAAAATAAAAACAGAGAAATGTTTTTGTAAAACACGAACATCGTTCTCACTGGATTTTACCAACTCCATGAATGCGTCACAAACTCATCTCATAAAACTCAACAACTGACAAAACAAGACATTTCAAAAAGTCTTTTCTCAAAAAGTTTTTTTTTTTGTATTAACTTTTTGTGACATGACGGTTGTGAACAATGAGGGATTCCACCCCTCACTATCATCATATATTTCATATCCTCGCACACCCAGCCTTCTCACAGTGATGCTGTGCTTCACACCTCTTCCTCTTCTGGTTTCCTCTGAGAACATCGCTGAAGTTGTTTGTCTTTCGCAGCGTTCTTCTCTCTGACTGATGAGCTCCGCCGTCGTGTGAAGGCTCTGTCTGAGCTGCAGGTCCAGGTTGCGTCAGAGTCGAGGTGATGTGCAGGAACGTCGCTCTGATGCTGGCTGAGTTTCCGCTCCGTGTCACTCAGTCTCTGTGGACCTCTTGACCCACTTCCCCCCCACCCCAGACCCACACTCACTTTCTCCATCTCTTTCTTCTTCTTCTTTTTTCACCCACCACTTCTTCTTATCTGTCTAAAACCTCTTGGTGGAGCACTCCCCCCTTCCCCTCACCACCTCTCCTTTTCTCTCTCCTCCATGCCCCCCCCCCCCCCCCCCCCCCCGCCCCCGACTGCCGCTCCCCCCCCCCCCCCCCCCCCCCCCCATGCTGTTTCAGTGCTGCTGCCTGTCTCTTAGCAACAACTGCACACCCCTTAGAGCTCAGTGAGTGCTTTTACAAACACACCCAGGAAAACGCACTCGTGCGCGTGCACGCACGCACACAACCACACGCGAGCGTGCGCTGGCACATACACACCGAGTCTAGTTCCTCATTGAGGGTTTCTGCTGGCAGGCCTGTGAGTCTGCAAGCCTTTGTGGCAGTGAGATAGATAGAAGAGAATAGATCTGCTGTACGACTACCATGCACTGCGTAACAGGACAATTGCCCAAAACCCGGAGCTGGCAGGTTCTGGTCTTTCGTGCACACACACACACATGAACTCACTCTTTGGCGTGTTGCGTTATTGTTGACTTTCCGTTATTTGCACAAAACTTTCTGAAGAAATTGTGATAGATTAAAACTGTTCAAATAGCATTCATTCCAGAGCTGTGGAGCAGATCATCACGTGGGAGCAGCGCAGAAAAACTCCACGCCACTGAGCTCCAAAACCCCAGAGCCATTCACGGCAAAACGCACCATTTTCTCCGTACGGTTATATTGAAACGGCCGCTGACGGATGGATGCCAGGAGTGTTCGCTTAAACAATGAAACGTAGCGGGGATTGATTGGGCCGCATCTAAACCCTGTCAGGATGCCCCCTGCCGAGCACCAAAGAGGGGCATTTGCATGTGTGTCTTTGTTTTGTGTGTGTGTGTGATCGTGCACAAGAAGGCGTGTGCGTGTTGCGTCTGTCTCTATGTGTAAATCGATGTGTGGGAGGATGAAGCTGCAGGGGCATATTTGCATGTGTGTTGGTATGTGTCAGTGGGAGTGACAGCGTGTGCACATCATGTGTAAAGCGCATGTGATGCAATGCTTAATTAAAGCGTGCACTCGTCTCCTTCTTTCACAAACCGGTCAGATGAAGCCATAATTAATGAGCGCTGTTAATTAGACTGAGGAGAAAGTGAGAAGGGTGGGAGAAGTCAGGGGAGGCAGCCGTGGGTGAGGAGGGGTTAAAGCAGTGTGTGTAGAGTGTGTGTGCTCGTCTCCATGTTTGTGTGTCCCAGTTGTGTCATTCCTCAGAGCAGCAGAGCAGAGGTTGCTCTGTTTCAAGTGCAGCCCCCGACTCTCAGAAAACTCTCCCACTCTACCTCACCCACTTATTTTTGCTTCCTTAAAACTTTTGCTTCCTAATTTAGCAAAAAAAAAAAAGTCTCAAGATTCTCTACCTTTGCCTGTCCATGTAGAAATATTCCCGTTTTTGTCACATTTGTTTTTAACTTTCTGCTGCCCTTTCATACATTTCAACTCTTTCATTCACTCCTTCGAAGATCTCAGACCCTCTCCCTTTTCCTTCTTTCTCTCTCGCTCCATGTCCTCCTCCCTCCTAATCAGAGCCATATGTTGGAAACGGAGGCAGAGAGATCTGACAATAGACATAATTGTGTTGAATGTGGTGTGTGTGTGTGCTACAGTGTTGGAGCCAACAGCAGCGTGCGTGTCTGCTCGCAAATGTGGCAAGCACGCTTGCATTTGTTTTTGACTGGCACACAGTCACGCGCGTTGAATTCAGGCACATGTGGTCCAGGTTTCGTAGCACGGCTGTCCATGTCTTTGCACGTCTCATCTTCTCTGGGCCTCCATGATTTCTCCATCATTCCTGTCTTTGTGTCACCTTCATCTCTCAATCTTCCCAACACCTCTATTTTCACCGCCGCTCTGCTTCCCCCTGGTGGCAGTGACTGTTCACACTTTTTTTTTCCTTGTTGCACCCTTTGCAACGCATCTGTATTGTTTTACCGAACTATAACTTTGCATGTGTGCTTGAACTGTGAGGACTGTTTAAAATGCCTTAAATTTCTCTGGAAAACACAGAAATGAAGCTGCAGCTCAGCCCAAATGATTTATACTGCAAGTCATCCTCCAAAAGATTTGTCTAGTGTGAGATGGTGCAGCTATTTCCAAAATACTGATTCGAGTCTGGCCCAGTTTGTGCTGTGACATCACGTACTAATCTCTTATTCTCTTTTTGTCTCTGCTCCTACCTTCCCCACATGTCCCTTCTTGCGTTCTTCAACTCAGTCCCCGTCTCTGTCCTTGTGTCTTTCCTTCTCTCGGTGTAGCGACCATGGGCAACAGACAGAGGCAGAGGGAAGATAGAGAAGTATATGAGCTCTCCACTGCAGTATTGATGACCCAATGATCCCCTGCAGAACAGAGCCAGTCAGGCAGACCGAGTCAGGCTCAACTCAGAATCAAAATCAGCGCCACAACTGTTTGGTCAGAGCAGCACACTGAGCAGGATATGAATGGTAAATGTGATCTAATTTTGTAATGCTCGTGTGTGGGTGGCACGCTTAATGGATGGAGGGTGCATTAGGGAGTAGATTTGTGGCGTGTTGCCAGATATGTTGACACAAGTACGACTCCATCTGTGCTGCAAAAGTTTGATTGTACATATAAATATATATAGTACGTTAATTAGTGTTATATTAGGAAACGTGTACATTAAATGTATTAAATGTAGGTGGAGATGTTGACATTAATATTAATGCCTTGCTGTTTTAGTGATTAGTGTTTTTCATTTCTGTTTTTAGGTGTTTGAATCTTCTGCTCTCTCAGGTTTGCAGACGACCCCAAAGAATCCTTTGCAAACAGCTGAAAGCACCCCTCTGCTTCTTGCTCCGCCACCAGCAAAACTGTCCGCTGAATGAGTGGCTTGTCAGATCGTCTTCATTCAGGCCAAACTGGGGCTCCAGTGGGTTACAGTGAGACTCAAGCAGAGAGGTGCTGCGTGACGGGGCCTGAAGAGCTTGAAGGGCATAAGTTCTGGGCGCAGGAGCTCACGCTCCCAGGCGGGTTCCAGTATCCTGCTCATGATGGACTGGCACAAGTGACCTTCGAATGCGTCTTGCCCACCTCTTCATCTGCCCTGGCCAACGGCGTCCATCTACAGAGAAGGCTGGGGGGTAGCAGCCACCTGTGGAAGCACTCTGACACGCCTATGACTGCTGAGACGCTTAGAAACATGCAAACACACATAGACCCAGATGTGCGTGCAAAAACTTTTTCACATGCACATGTGGACAACTGTGAACACACAGACATAACCACTCAGTCTGGTTTTATAGAAACAGAACTCCCAAAATCTCTCGCACCAGAGGTCATAAACTCAACTTCACCTCAGTGCTTGTCTTTGGCACTCGGCAATCATCCTGTCTCCACCAATCAGCTGGCGGCTCCGGTCGCCACAGTGGAGACAGACTCGTCGTTCTGTCCGGTCCCGACTGGTTCAGATCCAAACACGGACTCCTGCCCTCTACCTGTGGAGACAGAAAGAAAGTATGCACTCCGCAGCTCTGGGCGTCCTCGCTTCCCCTGTCACCTGCGCAAATCCTCCCGCCTGCACCGAAGCCTTGAGGATGGAGACAAAAGGGCGGGAAGGGAGAGAGGGGGAGAGGAGGAGGAAATACTAGAGGAGAAGATCTGGAGGGTTAAAGAGGAGGAAGTTGCAGTCTGTGATAAAGAGGAGCGTTTATCTGTGGAGGCTACTCCCCCCACACCTACCTGTCATACAGACATGGCTCCTGCTCTAACCACTCCTAAGCCTGCTCCTAAAGCTCTACCTAAACCTGGACCCAGGCTTGGACACAGACCTGGACCTAAATCCAGGTGTAAGCCATTATTAAAACCTGTTCACAAAGCAGCTCCTAAGAGCATATTGAAGCAGCGTCAGGCAGCCCAAGCCCTCCGCAATCTCGTTAACCCTCCTCTTCCATTTGCATCCGCTCTCCCCACGTCTTTAATGGCCATGAAGGAAGAACCTGATGCAGCGTTGGGCGTGTGCCCTCCAAATAACAGCAGACGAGGGCGTTATATTGGTGTAAGTTAAATAACAGTAACATATCACTGTAAATACTTTTTTAAAACTTTGGATAAAAGTATGGTTTAACAATTTCTAGCACCAAATTATGTTTTCTTTGCCTGACAGGTACGGAGGATTGTCGTTAAGGTGCCTCGCATTCCCGTCAGCCTCAGCCGCCGACAGAAGAGCTACAAAATTTCTAATTTGGAGACCGTCATAGCGCCAGAGAAAAGTAACGACGGCAATCTGGAGGGCCCTGAGCCAATTCGTGAGCCGACCGCCCTGCTCCGAATGAAGAACAATGGGAAAAGTGTTATGGTGATGTTCCCTCCTGGAGAGCTCCCTGTGATTCTCAAACGCAGACGGGGACGACCACCGAAACAGCCTTTACCAGGAATACAGTGCGAGCCTGCAAACGCTGGAACGATTGGCACTGCTGAAGATCAGCCCAAAAAGCCTCGCAGGCGACGTCGGACTAAACTCCCATGTCCATATCCGTCCTATGTTAACGATACAAATGATGTGAAAACCGAATACGGGGATGTTCTCTCCAAGCTGGCGTTTTTGAACCGCCAGCCTCCTGCCACTGGCCGCTGCTCTCCTCCTCGCTGCTGGACGCCCAGTGAGCCAGAAAGCTTTCAAGCGTCCTTGGAAAACCCTGGAATATCCACCCTGCTTCACAGGCTCACTGGGTTTAGACGCCCCAGAGGTGGCAGAGGAGGGGGCCCCGGCAGAGGGGGGGGAGCAGCAGGGGGCGTTATGGGCAGCGTGTGCAATAAGAGCACTTTCAGTGACTTCTTTGAGTCTATCGGAAAAAAGCGGAAGCTGAACCTCCTGTCTCAGCATGGATTACCTAGGAAAAGGCGAAAGGGCGTGGGTGGAGGGGTGGGTAGGGGAGGGGGGATGGTGGGAACAGAGCCCGGGGGTGAGAAAATAGTCAAAAGGAGACGCATGAGAAAAAACGGTGCTTGTAAAGGGGGTGGAATGTCCATGGAGGAAGAATGGCCCAACGGGGCAGGTGGCTGGGGGGAGGAGGGGGCGATGGATAAAGGGAAAGGTTTGGGTGGGTATCTACTCTGTGGGTCTTCAAAGGGTGGCTTCTCCAGTTGTGAGCTTGGACGAGGAGGGGCATACAGTAGTCTAGGGGGGAGTAAAGGGATGGGGCCAGTCGGCGAGGACTCACAAAGTCTTTTTGCTGGTTATTTTCGATCCCTGCTGGATTCGGATGACTCCTCAGACTTACTGGACATCTCCTCGCAGTCGGGCTCCCGCAAATCTTCAACCAGTGCTGGTTTTGAGCCATCTAGCTCAGCTGCCAGTCACAGCTGGTCTCCCCCATTCCCCAAGTGGAGCTCTAAAGGAGCGAGTGCGGGGCTGGAGGCTTCGGCACAGGCACACTGCTCCTCATCGAGACCTCCGTATAGCTATAGCAGCCTGGCCCAAACATCTCCTACAACTTCTGCCTATCCCAAATCCACCCCTCCGTCCCTCTTACACTCACCTAGCTCCCCCCATCCGTCCTCTTATGGTCACTACTCCACTGGCTACTCCTGCTCTTCTCCTGCAGCTCCACAGAGGTCATCAGACTGCAGCTATTCATACGGATCTGCTCAAAGTGGTGGTAAAGGCATGCCTGTTAATCAGATAGCATATTCTAGCTACCAGACAGCAGCCAAGAGAGGCTACGGGGGATATCCTGCAGGAAGTCATTCCTCCATGGCGAGGGGGGATTCAACTGGACCAACATCTCCTGGAGGAGGGTACATGTCCGTGCCCAGAAGCAGCACCTTCAGCTCCTCTGCTCCAGAAGGTTACAAGCAGTTCAACTCCAATCAGTGGAGCTGCAGGTAAATGGGTCTGTTGCCAGAAAAATGACTCAGCGGACAAAACAACCATTTAAATGAAAAGAGCAAGCATTCCTTGAAATGATGCATGCCGCTCACCGCCTTTCATGCAAAAGTTTTAAACTATCATTATATGTTTAAAAATGATTGCTTGAGTAGCTGTTTTGCTCATAGCTGGAAAATAAATTCATGCTCGATTTCACCCGATATAGGTGGCTCTTATGTAATCCGTTAGCGCATGTGTTGGGGATGACTCTAAGCTAATGTCACATCACGTTTTAGCTCGAGGTCTGTAAAATTGACAGGGGTACTAGCTGTTTTTATATTTTCTTAGATCAGTTGGCTATGACGTTCATCTCAGCTGTACGTGTAATGATATTTTTCTGGAGGTTTCCCTACAACCCCTTCAGTGTTTCTTCAGATATTTTGGTCACAGATTGTGATCAAAATATTCATGGTTGCAACAGTTAATTGAAAAGTTCTTGCACAATCTTTTAGGGATGACTCAGCTATGACGACACCAAACTAGCTCAATAAATGTAAAACTGACAATTATAGCCATTTTTGTGTTTGCTAAGGCTGCTCAGCTATAGCAGCCATATGCATAAAGCTGACTCCAAAATGTGGATGTACTTCCAATGACTACTTTCTGAAAGTTTATTAAAATCCATCCACTGGTTCATAAAATATTTTGCTAACAGACACACACGTGTACATATTACTGATTAGTTGAGGTGCAGAGAGAGAGTGAGAGTGACGTGCTTTATTCTTGCTCATGTGCTGTTTGTGTGTTTTTCTCAGACAAGCTTATGGTGGTTGGCCGTCCGACAGCTTCGGCTCTCAGTATCATGGATACGGTGAATATGGCTCCAATGAGTCCAAAGACATCTTGGACATTTCAAACTACACCCCCCAGAAGGCTAAGCGGCAGCCCTTTCCCGAAAGTCTATCAGAATCCTCTTCTGACTCCTCACATCTTGGTTCTGCAGCCCCCGTCAGTGGACCCGGCTCCGCAGGTGGAACCTATAAACAGAGTGAGCCTGGGTTTGTTCCAGGAGGGGGGGGTCAGTCTAGTCTGTCCAGCCTGGAGAAACTGATGATGGACTGGCACGAGAGTGCCTCTGGGCCGTCGTACAACTGGAGCCAGGATGTTTTATTCCAAGGCGGGGGGACCAGCAAACCCGGCCGGGGTCGCAGAAAACGGACTGAACCGCAGTTAGAAAAGGAAGGCGGCTCTGCTTTACACTCCGATTCCCCATCCAGTCCCTCCCCAACACCTGCTGCTGGACCTAAGCGGGGAGGGGTTGGAGGACGGGGCAGAGGCTCCAGAGGTGGTCGAGGGGGTCTGTCTCCCTGTCAACGGGAGCGTCCGCCGGGGTCCAAAGGAAGGGGCAAGGCGGCCTCTGCATCAGGAGTGGGACCAGTAGTGTCTGCTGGAGGTCCAGAGGGGGCTGGGTTGTTCCAGGAGGGGCTGGATTATTACAGCGGGGACAGCAGCAGCCTCTCTCCTTTGGCCACACCTAATCCTGGTCCACCTTCCAGCTACCTCCAGGACACCTGTGAGTACCCCTCCCCTTACTCAGCCCACCCCTCCACACCTTCCTCTGAGGAGCGATATCCAGCCTTGTACCCTGGTGACTCCTCCTCTTCCCTCTCACCGAGTGTCTCTTCTCCCCCTTACCCTCCCAAGCCAACGCCTCCTCCTCCTCCTCAGTCATACCACCTCCTCCCCTCCCGGACCTTCTCCCCATCCTGCTCCCCCTCACCACGTTTAACTCCCCACTGCGCCACAGCGCTCAGTCCCTCGCACCGCCCCCCCCAGAAAGACCCCCAGTTCTCGCAGTACGACTCTCCCAGCTACTGCGGCTCTCCCTTTTGGTACGGACAGACGTCGCACAGTGGCAGCCCCAGCCCTCACTCGAATACAGCTGGACACCCCCACAGCAACCCCCACACGAGTCCCCACAGAAATATGAACCCCCTGTCAAACCAAACTGCAAACGCACACACTCACATGACCGCTGTCGACACGCAGCATCACAGCACGCAGCCCCTCGCAAACCTGAGCAACACCCCCTCACACTTGCAGAGCAGCCTTCTCCCCCACTCCAACAGCACACACCTCCCCTCCCACACACACTCCAACCCCGGCCTCAGTCTGCACTCCACACCGGTGCTGTACGAGGAGCGCAGCCCTCCCTCCGCCATGACGCCCCACAAGCGGGACCTGACCCCTCACGCCATGAGCACGGGCCTTCGACAGTGTCCCTTGCCTCACTCCCCGTACCCCAAACCCCCACTGGACTGCTCTCCCCACCAGGAGGACACAAGTGGCTACTCCCTACCCCAGCAATACCATGGGATGGGACACCGCTACCCCTCCCAGACGGCTCAGAGCGGCGGGGTGCTGTGTCAGCTTCTGGATCCAGCAAGTGATGAGAGCTTCAGCGTCACCAGCCTGTAACAGCAGGTGAGTTCATTTAACGCTCATATCAACACGAGATGATCGTTTGATGATCTTAATTTTAACCCTCTGGACAAACTGAGAGGAATTTAAATGACCCTAGGAACAAAAAAATGACCAATAAAGATCAACACAGGTTTAAAAGTGACTCCTAAGTTTAAGCCTGTAACATAAAGCAGACGGCTGAGGGCTCGAGCTTTTGCCAATTAAATTTTACCACTGCATAAATGGCTGTAAATAGGTAATGCTAATCAGAAACAATATAGATGCTGTTAGAAGCAAAAAACAGTGATATAAATCTGTTTTATTTACCATATAAAACAGACCATAAAGAGATTATTGGAACGTTTCACCAAGTCTGTAAAGCTGTGTTTTATGGTGCCTTCAATGTAAACCCTGTTGCAAACATTTCTAGTTCATATTTTGTGCCTTTGTGCAGACTTTCACCAATAATCTGGGATTTATATCCAAATTTAGAAGAGGTTTTGGGATTACAGCTCTTTTTTAAATGAAAAATGTTTCTTAGATGCTTTAAAGTAGGGATGCACAATATTAGATTTTTGGCCGATATGCCGAAATGTTAAAACTTATTTGGTCGATTAGTGATACCAATACCAATTATTTTCCCCCCTAGATCTACTTACAGCGACTACATAGCTTTCTCTGCTGTGTAATTAAAATACTACATTATTCTGCATGGTCGTTGTCAGTTTGGCCTGCTACCAAATGCAGATGTCAAAAAGGGTCTGAAAATGATGTAACACTGCAAATTGGATTATGTTTAATGTCAAATTTCATGACATTTACTCTGTCTAACACAATGACAACACTCGAACAGTGCACATTTGTACATTTTCATAAATCTAAACCCAACGGTGCGCGTGATGTCATAACGTGCTGGTGCTGTATACATCCTTGTCACTGGGTTGTCATACAAAAACAGCGCCTTACACACACACATATATATATATATATATATATATATATATATATATATAAACAGTGTCTTTTGTATCGGTGAGTCATTTTGATGGAATGACAGATGTCCGATATTTAACTTTATCGCTAATATTGGCTGATACCGATACTATGTCGATAATATCGTGCATCTCTACTTTAAAGTAATCAAACAATTGAATCAGAAGCTGTTTGATGGATAGGTCTTAGCTAAATCTTTGGCATTTTCTTATGTTTATAAAAAAAAAAAATATATATATATATATATATATAAATGGAGCTGGTTTCTCCAGTGGTATTAGATAGCTTGCGGTGAACACACAACATGTAACTTTTAATATAAGTGAAACAGATTGCAAAAATCAGAACAAATCCTCCTCGGACATAAAGAGAAACAAAGTCAACAGTTTGGTGAAACATCAAAATGCTTGGGCTTCCACCCTAAAAGCAGCGATGGATTTCTAAAAAAAGTAAAGAAAAAAGCCTTGCACAAGACGTGAAATATCATTTTCCAAAACGACCATGAAAAAGACTTTACAGGATCAAGTGTAGCAGGTTCTTCACAAGCAGATCATTTTTAAACCTCAAGAAGAAGAAAAACTTGGAAAGCTCAAAACATCTGACGAAGTTCTTTGAAGAAATGACACTAAGATCAATCTGGACCAGAAAGCTTGTTAAAAAATTTTTTTTTTAAAGTTCCCAACATTAAGAAATGAGAAACCCTGCAAAGGATTCTTAATAAATTATTTAATGATATTTAGTTTTGATTATCCTATTTTTATAGCTATGTCTAAACAAAGGGGATCTCTGTGTTACAGAATTGTACTTCATAGCCTTTTAATGAAAAAATAAATAATCTCAAAATAAATGTAATGGTCTCCACTTTATCATATATGTTGAACAAATTTTAGAATTTGGATAGAACAATAAAAAATGCAACAAATGTGTAAATCTGTAAGGTTGTAAAAAAAAAAAGAACATCCATTTGCACTAAATTAATGGGAAAGTATGTTTTTAAATAACTTAAAAATATAATTTTTCTTATCTAACTGCCTGTCCTTTGTGTGTCTGTGTGTGTGTTTTTTGTTTTTTTTTTAGGTGTGAACTTTTACAGAGTTGCAAACATATTTTTTAAGGAGACTTCTTTGTGAGAGATGAAGGGTGAGAATTTAGCTGCCAGCTTTGGACAGTCGAGCTTTAATTCTCCAGCACTGACAATCAAGATCAACCCACAGACTGAAGCATGTACATACACGAAACACGCACACACACACACAGAAACGCATGCGCAGATTCGATCACTACCTAACCATCAACACAGGAGGACTCTGCGCTGGAAGGAGGGATGGTCAAGAGGAGCTGACAGATGAATGCCAGACGCTCACGGACAGACGGACCTCTTTCCTCATCTCGTTTCCGTCCCTGTGTGACACATGCAGTACTTTACCGAGCCTTTCCGTTTCTGTTCCCTGCATTGCAAAACAAACAGCTGTTTTCTCTTCTCTGTCGACGCCCAGCTCTGATGCTAAACCAGCCGCCAAGTTCTCTTCGCCCCGATCACTCCGCTGTCTTGTGCCCCAAACCCGAGTCTTTTTCGAAAAGCGACGGGCCTAACGGTGCCCCGCTCTCTGTGCACTTCCTGTGTTTGTGTCCCGTTTGAGAAAAGTGGACTGAATCTGTTTCTGCTCTTGAAACACCAGCATCTGTACATACGACTTCAGCTCCAAGCCACGGGGCCTGTGTTCGCGCCGAAGGCCCGTCATCAACTTTTCCCTCCTCTGCTTTGCTGCTGTTTTCTCTGCTTTGAGTTCTGGGGGGGGGGAGTGAGGGGGGAGGACTGCAGCTTGGAGACTCAACATCCTGTGTTTTGCTGTTTTAACTACAAGGGAAAGAAACATTGAAATTACACAACGGCCCCAAAGAGACTCTTGTTTTCTGCGTGCGAGACGGAGGATGTGTTCGCGTGACTGCGGCGATGCATGTATTTGTGAGTTTGTTTGTGAGAGAGTGTGTGTGTGTGTGTGTGTGTGTGGTCAAAAGAAGTGAAGCTCCCTGGACGACAAAAGTCTTGGCGGGGCCTTATTCTTTCTTTCACTCTCTCCCTTCTTTTTCTGTGGTCTTGTGTTGTTTGGTGGTTTTTGTGCTGAAAAAAAAAAGTTGTATATCTGTCTGTTACATATCATGTACTGTATGTATCTAAGGTGCAAAATATTTAAATACACATTATGTTCTTGCCATTGGTAATCTTGTCTGTGTCGTTCAGGCTTCTTCAACAGATAAAGGGAGGCGCTGCTTGTGTGTCGTAGCGAGTATTAGATTCAGCCCAGCCTGTCTGGGACTGCGAGAGCGAGCGAGTTCAGTCAAGGACACGATTCGACAGGGAGTGAAAAAGAGGGGAGGAGAGGAATGAATGATGAGGAGCGCAATGGAGGAGGAAAAAAAAGAAGAAATCAGGCAAAGAGAATCAGAAAAAATGGGGTTTAGAAGCACTGAAACAACATAGGTTCAATATTTCTTATCCAAATAAGGAAAAAGGGTTAAAATGTTTTTGAACCCAGTGATACCAGTGAGCCGGCTGGGAAAATAAATAAAAAGTTCTCGTTGAGGGTAACTTCTGCAGAAAATGTCTGCAGCTTGTGGTGATGTGTTTGTGGCAGAGCGACTCTGAGAATGAAAGCAGATGGGGGAAGTTTGCGGGCTGCAGATTGTGTACAGTTTGTCAACAGGCTGATTAAATAGACTCAGACATGGCCGGAGGAAATGTGTTTGCTGTGACATTCCACTGTATGGCAGAGGGGGACACATTCTGCCAACATGACAGACAGATGGGGGGGGAGGGGGGCACATCTGCGCTATTCAGACTTCATTTATATCAGATACATGTCTATAAATGTTTAATTAAATTACAACCAGCATGAAGACCTGCACACTGAAGATTTATTCCTAAAGATGTGCAATATTTTCTAGGGATGCACGATAGTGGATTTTTGGCCGATATGCCAAAATGTTAAAACTTATTTGGCCAATATCGATATTTTTATATACTTTCCTTTGTCAGAACATATTCCTCTTATTTAGGTTTATTTGCTACAAAAAGTGTGTAACAGCTGTAAGAGCTGGTGACATATATTCAGTAACAGCCACATGATATGCAGAGCACTTTAACTTATATTAAATGGAAACTGTTAAATGTTATTAGCATTAGTCACCTGTGATGCTGTCTCACTTGTGGAGGCTTGTTCCAGGTTCCTATAGCTGCAGTGTGGGATCCTCTGCACTCCTGTGCATGAAAGACAGACTTTTTAAGTTCAAAGTTTTTGTCTATCCATTGTGCCGTAACACTAATCATGCTAACGGGGCTAACACTTGACGTCAAGATGTCTGTGGTAAAACTCACCCAAGTGCTATGGGCTATTAGCTTCTCAATGATGTCGGAAATGACGGCTTGTAACTCGGGTAAGGCTACGTCGGAAAAATATCTCTGACTGGGGACGATGTAGAGAGGCTCAACACAGTCCAAAAATCTTCGGAATCTGACATACTCAAAAATAAAAAATCTTCCACACCACCGACATTTTGAATTTTCCTCTCCGCTGTGATCAGATCAGGTGGGTGCGTGTGACGTCATCACGTTGTGCTGCTCCTACAGGCATCCTTGTCACTGGTTTGTCATACAAAAACAGCTTCTTTCATATCGGTGAGTTATTTTGATGGAATGGCCGATGTCCGATATTGAACTTTAACGCTAATATCGGCCGATACGGTACCATTCTGATAATATCGTGCATCCCTAATGTTTTCCTTAAGGAGCCTCAAAGCAGAGGAAGCTCAAATGTTCAGCAGGTTGAAGACATACGTTTCAATAATGTACAACTTTCAAATGATTTAATTCACTTATCAAGAGTATTAAACGCTGCACCTTCAGCTGTTAGGTTCTGATCTTATCGGCACTCTGCACGTTTTTTACTATTTCAAAGCACAAACTTAACGATTATTGGATTTAATTTTTTATGTGATAAGAGAAGAATACATAAAGTGTGTTTGGTGTTCTGAAGTCAAGAGGTGACAAACATGAACTTCTATTATCAGAACCAGAAGCCAGAAATTGAAGCTACAATGAACAAAAGCCCCATCATGGTTGTCCACGGTACAATTTTTAGGCACTGCCACTCCATGCAAACTAATGTCAATTTCCTGACTAAAAATGGATAAATTACTTCAGATATGTATTTCTTTTAGGTTAAAGTTAAATCCTGAAGCTCCTGAAACTCGAACACTTGAATGAACTGCTTTGTGTAGGTCAAAGTTCATGCTCACTAATCCAGATAAAAAAAAAATCCAACAGTGTTCTGTCAGGTCATCTGGACGGTTTCTTTATTTGTTGAGACGTTTTGTCCTTCATCCAAAGGACTTCTTCAGGACCTGACTGAACTTTGGATTGTTTACCTGGATTATTGCACATGAACTTTGATGTTTTGAACCACTTTGGCTATGGCTGCCTCAGAGGAGTCGATGGGGGAGAGGGC